CAAAAATTTATTTTAAAAGATCACACTGTTATCTAATATTAAGAAGCAAGTTACAGATATCTTTAGAATAATACTCTGCTTTCATCTATGTGTATGTATGTGTGTGTTATATATACATATATATCAAGTTTTGAAGACTAGACAGAAAAATTTTAAAGGTTGCTGTAAATTCCAGGAGGACTGAAAATTTTGTAGATTTTGTTTGCTGCCCAATCTACAGTGTCTAAAACACTGCCTGTCACATAGGAAGCATTTAATGAGTAAAAAAATGATTAAATGTGGAATTAGAAATTCTTTTTTTTTTGCTACTCCTTATTTTCTAATTATGGCATGTGGATTAAGTATTCTCAATAAAAATGTACTATTTACTTGTTTATGGCATGTTTAATTTTGAGAAAAAAGTCTTAGAGTCATTGATAGTTCTTTTTAGGAGTCTCAGAAGCAGCACTGGCATTTAATAAATTAGAAGCAAAATCATAACTTTAAAAAAATATGTCACCAAGTTTTTGGAAATGTTTGTTTTCTGAAAGACATATTATATTCATGGTTATGCTCTGGATATTGCTGATATTTAATATTTACATTTTTGGAACAAATGTACCTAATGGCAGGTCATTGTGACTTTTTATTTAAAAACCATGTTTGAGGCAAAAGTAATGTGTACTCTTGTTACTGTTAAGCAGTTTAAATCAATACTCCTTACTTAACAACTCAGCGTTCCCAAGGGCCTTGGTTTTATGTGGCATCTCAGAGATATGGCATGCACCATTACTCTTTAAACATCTACTTTAATTGTGCTTTTAATTTTGCAGACTTTACATAGAGACCCAGATCTGTTGACAGAGCAAATGAACCACAGATTCTGTCCTTTCTACTTTGTCACTCTAACCACTTGGTAAATGAGGTTTAGGTTTGCAAGGGGATGATGTCGTTGCCAAGGTTTTTTAATCCTGAACTATAACATGGGTGGAATGCGGATACTTTCAGTGCACCATGATGAGATTGTCTCCTTTATTTTTGTAGTAATGCCCTTGTTAATGGTGCTCTGTTTTAAAGGAGATGTGACACATTGTAAACCCGTCTGCCTATAATTGTCATTTAGACTTCATCAGTGAAGGGAGAATTGACAGATCTGGGGTCCTCGGGTTCACTTGTAATTTTCCAACAGCAACAATATCATTGAATTTGGATTATTAAATATAAAGTAGAATTTTCAATATTAGCAAAATGTGTTTTAAATTGTCTCCAACCCATGTATTTTAATAACTGAAATGCTAAAAGCACTTTATTATCTCGAGCCATGGTTAAAGAATGCCTTCCTGAAGCAAGGCTTCAAGATATATGAGAGTTAGGGAGTTTTAAGACCTAAGCCATTGAATTTAATGCTGAGATAAAGACTAGAAAAGCAGACGCCCAGTAAACTCTGAATTTAGAACTTAGCAGGGAAGTGAATATGTAAATTCCTAAATTGTCTCCTGGAAAGAAATTTCAAAAAACGGTTCAGGGTCCTACCATGAAAGGAAAATTAATGGAGGAAAATTATGTCTGATCACTGAAGCATGGACATTGAATGAAACCATGCATCAATTAGGTACTCAAGAAATAGACTCATGAAAGTGTAAAAATTCAGAGGAAATTCATAAAGGTTTAGGGATAGATAGAATTTTCCTCAGCACTATCATCTTTTTAAAGTTAGGTTTATTGAGGTATAATTTATACACAGTAAAACACAGCCTTTTTAGATATACAGTTCAGTGAATTTGGACAGGCATATCTAGTTGTGTAAGCACCACTGAACCCAGGTTGGACTAGTTCCATCAGTCCGTAGAAGTTCTCTTTTTTTGTACTCAGTTTACTCCTCCTGCCCACAGCCCGAGGCAACCACTGATCTGACTTCTGTCCTTATAGCTTTACCTTTACCAAAATGGCATGTACGTGGAATCATACTTACGTAGCCTTGTGTATTTTGAGTTAAAATGTTTGAGATCTGCTCATATTGTTGTGTACCAGTCATTCATTCCTTTTGTGCTGAGTATTATCCCATCATACGAATTGTCTGTCACTAGCTGATAGACATTTGAGTTGTTTCCCATATTTTGCATTTATGAATAAAACTGCTGTAAATGTCTGTAGACAAATATTTGGGTAGACATGTTTTCTTTTTCTGATTAAATGCTTAAGAGTGGGATCCCTGGGCCATATAGTGAATGTATGTTTAACTTTATACGAAGGTGCCAAACTGTTTTCTAAAGAGGTTGTCCCGTTTTGTCTTCCTCTCAGCAAAGTGTGAGAATTCTCATTGGTCTGCATCTAGACAGTTCTAGTTGTCCCACATCCTTGTCAGCACTTGCCATTGTCAGGTTTGGTTTGTTTTCATTTTAACTTTCTAGGGGAGGAACATGTAGACTCTACATTGTAGAGTAAAGGCTCAGATGCAGGAGTGAAGCTGTGCAAACATCTGAATACTGAGGAGCGCTACAAATATATGGTTTTGTCACAGCAAACCAAAGTTTGGCTTCTGTTTGGCCCAAAAGTTGCATATAGGAGCAGGCTGCATATGTAATAGAGGTGATGATGGTCAGGCAGTATAAAGAGGATAAAATGGCAAGACAGGTTATGAAGTCTTTGAAAATATAGCTGAGTGTTCTAAATTTTAAAATAGAACCAATACTGTTTTCCAGATAAAGAAGAAAATGGCTTAAATATATTATGATGAACTGAAAATGAGTTTTTATTTAAGTTTTTTTAATTAAACTAAATTCTGTAACTAGTTACAACACTTGTAACTGGTGAAGTGCTGTGGTAGACATATACCAAGGTGAAATCTCAGTCTTAAAATACTTAACAATGTGATTGTAACTGCTGAGGTGGAGGAAGTAATTTGGAATTCTGCATACTTATACTGCCACATATGGCGATACATATTCTTTTCCACCACATTTTTGTATTTGAATTACTGTAGAATCATCGCTTATGTAGTGTACCGTGATGTCATGTGACCATAACTTGATCTATATGTATCATTTACATTTTTAACTTTTCCTCTCTGCTTTTCTCAACCACTGAGACAACTCCATGGAGCTACCTTATTTATAGATTGTGTTCAAACCTCTAATAATAAAATAATTAAAATCTCAGGAAAAAATGACAATGAGTCGGACGTAGAAATTAGACAGACACACATCCTTTTTACATGGATACATATGTATCATGGAATGTTTTGATGATAAACCATTGTAAGTGCCTGGGACACAGCAGTCCTAGTAGTTGCTGAATCCTGTTCTCCCCATCTTCTATCCCTGTACTGTCTTCCTGATTCACTCAGAATTGCTATCTTCCCTAGTAACGAATCCTAATTTTCAAATGTATCCAGTGCTTTGATTAACGAGATACAATAGCTTCTGTCCTCAGCTCATCAACTCTGTCTCTAACCAATAGAAAGAATTTCTGTATTTTTTTTTATCAAGACAATGGATTGTCCTTGGCCAGCAGTTATGTAAGGATCCTTTATTCTAGTGGTTTTTAGCAGCTAGTCTAAGTTCAGTGTCAAAAGTGCAAAGGATTTTAAGCTCCATATAATGTTACTGTTAAAGTTTTAATTTGCATCAATTTAATTCTCTTGTCAGTTGTCACACCCTATTAAAGTTGTGCCTCATCACATGCTGATGGAGCAAATTAAGTCTGAGGTACAAGATGATGTAGCTTCTTGGGAAAGGCTATCCATGGGTCCAGATTCCAGCAGTTTTGAGTTCATTGATCATTAGTTTTTATGTCTCTTAGGAATCTAGAGTAGCATTCTGTGGCCATCAAAGATCTGTATCTAATGTCAGAATTTTACAATTCTCTAGAGCAAGCCCAAAAGACACTTTTTAATGAAGAAGTATTTTTGCCTTTTTGTTGTTTTTCTTGTCATGTGTTTCTAGTATACTCATTTGCATTAGCCTTGCCACCCTTAACAGAATAATCCTTTAAAACCTCACTCAGATCATGGCACTCCTCAAATCCAATAGCTCCTACTTCTCTCAGAGTAAGGGTGTATAAAAGGCCCTACATTGTCTAGATTTTCATTACCTGACTCAGCCAGCTATTGCTCTTACCTTCTGTCATTCTAACGTAGTTATGTTGGCTCAGTATCCCTTGAAAATGGCAGGCACGCCCCTGCCTCTGAGCTTTTGCACTTGTTCCATTCAGTTACCTAGAATGTTTTAGTCCCAGCTATTCATATGACTTCCACACACTGCCTCCCTCCCTTCCATTCTTGACTGAAATAGCATTTCTTCATTGACGATTTTCCTGAATACATACCGAAAATTGCACCTCCCTCTTTTTGACACTTCCTGTCTCTCTTTCTTTATTTTCTTAGGCCCAAACTAAATATTTTAGCTATGTATCTTAATATTTTCTACTTCTCCCCAAGTAGAATGCAAACTCCACAAAGGCAGAGATTTTGTCTATTTTGTTCACTTTTGTTTAGGACAGTGCCTGGTGTAAAATGAGATCCCAGCATATATTTGCTGAATGAATGAATGATTTTGAATCTGCTGTATCTGTGAGTTTTAGTGTATGCAGTTCTTTCTTTGCTCTCTCTTTTTCCCTCCTCTATCCCTTCTTGCCTTCCCAATTGGGGCTGTAGAACAATAAGTTCTAGCTTTTGCAAAGGTTCTTAGTTTCCCAGAAGTGCTCAAAGATAACCCAAATGGAAGGTCACCTGTTTTGATTTTGCTAGAGGGAATGCAGGAATGTCAGTTCTGGCCTTGGAGGAATCTGGTTTTAGGAAGATGGATGCTATTGGTTTCCTTAAATTAAGGTATTGTCATTTTGGGTGTGTGTGTAAGAGGCCAAGCCACTACATGTATACCAGGTGCAAGGTCTCATGACCGATCCATGTCTTTACCATTTGATCCCCAATGTCCTGCACAACACCTGAAACTTATCAGGTACTCAAAAGATAGTTGGTAAAATAAGGAAGGCTAAGATTACTCTTACTTTTGTTCCCCCAGATCTACTGTCACCCAGGCAAGAGGTCTTCCTCACCTGAAACAAGCAGAAAGGGAGTGGTTGCTGGCCCTGTTCAAAGTCCTTGATAATTACTTCGACTATGCAAGTGATCATGGAGTACACCTGCCTCTGAGAAAGTAAACTGTCAGCTCTCTGTGGAGTCCTACCAGGGTGCCAAAGGTAAGGAAGTAAAACAATCTATCTTTGAAGTTTTAAGAATTCTTTCAGTGCCGTGTGTGGTAACCTCAGATGTGATATAGAATGGAATGAGGTCTTTCATTGTGAGAACTAATTAGCTATCCCACACCATGTAACTCGTATTTCTTAAATCAGAAACTTTTAATAGGACTTTTTATTTTTTGGAGGTTTTTCCTTCTCTTCTACCACAGGTTGTTGCCCAAGCATCTCTGGCCATTGCTAATTATCTGTTTGCCTTGGGCAAGACAGGTTCTGACTGTGAGTCCAAAAGCAGCCTTGGGCAAAATAATTCATAACTGTATTTACCAAAAATTATTCCATCAGTGCATCTTTGCAACAGTGTTTCCCATAATTACAGTTGCCTTGGTGCTTTTAAGATTTTTCATTTCTTGGAGCTGTTTGATCCCATCCATCCCTCTGGATTTTGAGCTTTTGACCTGTTAGACTTTTTGAGTCCCCATGGGTCTGCATCTGTTCTTAACTAGCCCAGGGAATCAATACTCCCAATATTTTCCATGATTATGGAATTGAAAATGTATTCTTCTGATGTTGGGGAACAGCTAATCTGTCTCTCAACTTTTAGAAGCTTCCATGGCTTATCCTGATTTGTTTCAAAAAGAATTTTTGGCACCTGACAAAGTAAATACAGTACAACAAAATAATATATTGAAAATAAGTGATGGAGATTTGAGGTGATAAACTAGGAAATGTGTATTTGCCTCATGTCCATCTAGATTTCTTTCTAAAATAAGAAAATAAAGTTATCCAAAAGGAATATGGAAGAAAATGGGAGAGGAGATCACATTTTTGTAAATGAGAGATTTAAAAAAAAAAATGTCCTCATGAATGTGATCCAATGGGACAGACTTAAAAGAATACTTACAAATATAAATTATCAGAATAGCATTAATATTCCTGTTCTACATATATATTAGGTGATGATGGAACAGTTTCCTTCAAAATTATAACCTGTGACTGAGAAAAAATACAAAGGAGAGGAAAGGATAAAAACGTGCAAAGATTTATAAGTTTTATTGCACACATGCTTTTTCTAAGAAGTTACTTGAGGATGTACTCGGCCAAAAGTGTTTTGTAAAGTCCAAACCAAGAAGGAGGACTATATGAAAACTCCTTGAGGTGGATGAACTCAAGAGAATGCTGGAGTAACACCTCAACATGACAGCAGTTTTGCAGGCCTGGAGAAGAACTACTCCACTTTGGATTTAGTAGATAGAGAGTCTAGACTTTAGTAGACAGAGGAGAGTTTCTAGGTAGTGGGATGGGGGGTGGGAGACAGTAATAAAATAGAAATGTATGATTGAACACTTGGGGAAAAAGGGAGATATGATAAAGCTAAATCACGCAAGAAATAAAGGCATTTGAAAGTACAGGCGAAAAAAAACTATATAGAAAATCATGATCTAACTACGAAATAAACTAAATTATGCTATGATGTTCAGCAGTTACAATAGTGTAAGAAGACAATGTTTATTTGCCCATGATGTTTGAACCATTTCCCTTTATGTGGCTCAAGGATTGCAGCATTGAGGTCAAGGTGAAGGAAATGTGATCTCAATATACAACTTGGCCTGCACTGAATGTGTTTACATTTTCCTAAAAATGAAAATACTACTTCTTGATTTTTGAGGTTTTATTATCATCCTATTAAAAATACTTGAAATTTCTACATTAGTTGTAAAAAATTTAAACTTGAACAACTTGGTAATATAAAAGCAAGTATGTAAATCACATTAGCTAGGACATGAGTGGAGGGTGTTGGGACATATGGAAGAAAGTGCCAGTGTGCTGCTAATTAATATCCTCAGTGTAAGGTGGTCAGAGGTCAAGAGATACTGAAGGAAGTTAGTAGAACAAGGGACTGAATATATTGTTTAATGTTACAAATGTAATTAATAAAAGAATTAAGTTCAATAATATGCATATCAAAAATTAGGAGGAGGAAAGACAAAGGAGAAATTAGTAAACTAAATCCACATCTTTGATAGAAAAGAAGATAGAAGTATATACATACTATTTTGAGATATGGAGGTTACCATCATTAATTCTGTAAACAGAAACACAATCAGTTGTTTTGGGGAAATGGTACTGTGGTGGAGAGGAAAAAGGTGAGAAAATATTGTCATCATACCTTTTCTCTTTCTTTAATTTTCCACCATGTGTGTCTCTTATCTTAATACAAAAAAATAAACTCATTGACTCTAACATTATTGCAGACTAAATGCTCCAAGGGACTGCATAGCATTAAAAAAAATTTTAATGTTTATTTATTTTTGAGAGAGAGAGACTAGACAGAGACAGAGTGCAAGCAGGGGACGGGCAGAGAGAGGGAGACACAGAATCCAAAGCAGGCTCCAGGCTCTGAGCTGTCAGCACAGAGCTCGACTTGGGGCTCAAACTCAAGAACCTTGAGATCATGACCTGAGCTGAAGTTGGACACTTAACCGACTGAGCCAACCCAGGCGCCCCAGGACTGCAGAGCATTTAAATTTGGGATAGAACACACATTAATGGGCTTAAAAGGAGTCAGGAGAGTAATCCAAGGAGTCCTCTAACCCAAAAGGAGGTTAGAGATATGAACTGGGAGTAGAAGAAGGCTGGGCAAGGGAGCATTGCTAAGTATAGATGACTATCGTGACACTTTCTCTATGGGTACAGTGAGCTTTGGTCCAGAAGCAAGGTAGGAAAACTAAAGGTGGGATTTCAAACTAAGCTGAGACTTTAAAGAGGGGAAATGTGTATCCAGCTTGGTGATGGTCATTGGCTATTAGCAGCAACAGAAGCACCTCCTCTATAGGAGAAAGTGTCTTGATTTAGGCAATACTCACACGTGAGTATCAAGCCATGATCTCACAGTCAAGTAGCACCAAAGGAAAGGGAAGAAAACCCACAATGAGTCAAGGTGAGCAAAATCAATCACCACATATTAAATTTCCCCAAATTACTAATGAACAGATTGCAAGACACTTAATACAGAAGCATTATGTTTGAAATGACTTTTTTTTTTAAGAAAACATTTGCACACAACAAGAAGCCATTAGGAATAGACTGGAAATTTTTGTAAATAAATAAAAAATTATAACTCCTAGAATAAAAATGTGATAATACACTCCTAAAGTAGAATGCTGTTCAGCTGTGAAAATGCACAAACTGTAGCTTACCTCATCCATTTGCCTTCCTTGATTGTCTCTATTCATTCCTTCTGGGATTCTAACCAGGATGTGAATTTTCCAGGAGTGATGGAAAATGTGAACCCATAGATACAGAGCACAGAGTGAATCCCAGCACAATAAATAAAATAGAATCCGGCCACATTGTGGAGAACTTGCATAATATCAAAGACAAACATTTATAAAAAGTATCTCCCCTCTTAAAGCCCTCATATGAGTGAAGTCATGTGATTTTTGTCTTTCTCTGACTAATATTTGGATATAAATTTTAAAAAAGAAAATTAAAAATAAGTATCTCCCCCACAAAATAGGAAAGATTGCACACCAAATAAAGACAATTAGATTGATAGCAGTCTGCTGAATAGCAAAACCAAAATCGGAAAGAGAGCTTAGAGAAAACGAATAACAACCTAGAATTAATTGTGTACTCAGTAAACTATCTGTAGGATGAAATGAAGACATTTGAATTTTAATAAAAAAAGTATGATACCTTAACTAACAATGACTTGCTAAAGGAACTTCTAAGGAATATTCTTCAGGAAGAAGTAATATTATCACAGGGCAGTCTAAGCAAAGAAAAAGATAAAAACAAATATAAAACCATGAAAAATCAATGTAAACTAATAGTAACAGAATTACAATACTGTAAAAAAAACCCAGCTTTTAAAATTGGAAGGATGTATTCAGAGTTAACATGTATCAAGGTCTTTGTATTGTTTGTTCAGGGTTAATGTCTTGTTTAACTTAGCCATTGTTTAGTTAAATATGCATAATAAAAGTTCAAGGGTGAACATAAAAGAATAGAAATATAATTAGCAAAATAATGAAGACAAAAAAAGCAGTGGGGGAAAAAAAAAAAACCTCAACCCAAAATTGAAAGAGAAGAATAAAACGAATTTTAAAAGCTTGATAAATAGAATTTAAAAGATATTAGAAGTCCCAGTATATATTACATGAATATAAATGGACTAAATTTTCTAGTTAAAAACAGAGATATCATACCGGATTAAAAGAGAAAAAGAACAAACAGTTTTGTGGCCCTTTCTTTAATTTTTTTTTTTTTTAGAGAGAGAGGGAGAGAGAGAATGAGTAGGAAAGAGGGGCAAAGGGAGAGAAAGAATCTTAAGCAGGCTCCACACTCAGCATGGAGACTGATGTAGGACTGGATCCCACGACCTTGGGATCATGACCTGAGCCAAAATCAAGGGTTGAGACTCTCACCAGACTGAGCCACCCAGGTGCCCCTTGTGGTCCTTATAATCGGCACACCAAAAGCATAGGGTGCAGAAGGTGGAATGTGGGAGAAAAGTAGACCAAGTGACTAATGGCTAAAAGAAAAAGAATCCTGGGGTCATTATGTTAGCATCCTGACACAACAGACTAAGTCAAAAAACACTATTAGAAGTAAAGAGGGTTACCACACAAAGTTTAAAAACATCAGTTTACCAGTAAGATAACATAATTCTAAACTTGCGTGAACATGACAAATATATCAGAATTGATAGAGCAGAAAGTTGACACAATTATATGGCGAAATTGATACATTCACCATTATATACTTAGTGAAAAATTTTAAGACACCTTTTTTGATTATGTCAAGAATTTTTAAAAAATATAAAGAAAAAACTGGCAACAACTCAAATATCTGTTTCATAGTAACATAGAGAAAAAAGGATGATATCATCATAAAATAGAATACCATATCACTATCACAACTATGAAAATAAATGAGCTATATCTCCATCAATAGTGTGTATAAATCTCCTGAACATAATGATGAGCAAAAGA